TGCACTGGGCTCTGTAGTACCAAGTAGTGGAAACAGTTCAACTGGTCGGAGACTAGTATAATGTTAGTGCAAGGGAGTTTAAAAAAAAAAAATTAGTGGGGAACTCCTCTGTCACTCCTCTGTCATTTTTTTCCTCTGTCACTCTGTGGGAAAAAGTTAACCAGATCCTGGCAGTTAATCGGGTGTCAACTGCAGCCCTGTCTAAAGCTGTGATAATATTTTTAAAAATTGTAACCTATTATCTATAGTTAAATGCACTACATTGTTTAGTTTTCATTTTTTTGCTTTTGTTAATATGAAACAATTTCAGGATTTTACTGCCCAAGAATGCTAAATGAGTGACATGTATATATTTAAAATATATTTTAATAGGGTAATTTGGTATGCAGAAAAAGTGGTCCTGAGCCACAAAATGCTATTTTCATCCACGGGACGTCGTATTTTCTGTTTTCTTGCAAATGCTGTGGAAACTCAGTATGGATGATCAAATGATTAAATGTTAGGTCACTTAAAGTTTAACATAACGCTTTAACGATAGGCACATGAAAAAGCAAGTGTAGCATTTCTGAATGTCATGTTGGACCATCATTGTCAAAGCACCGTCCTTTGAACCATATGTTAAAACCTATTCTAAAGTGGAGCAGTGAAAATGGGAAGCAGGTGCGGCAGAAGTGTAACACCAAGATACTCTCAGTTTGCTTCAGTGGAAAAACGATTCCAATATTGAGAGAGTACTGAAAATCTCACTTTGATCTGTAAGGAATTACCAGTTAATAGCTTTTTCCCTGTGACATTGTTTATTTTTACAAAATCTTGAGGCATATTGAAAAGGGCAATTGAAAACAGATGAAAATAATATGTAAATAATTTACAAATGCAGTTCCAAGGTTGTATGTGCATGCTTATCTTGAAAAGTATGACATGGAAGACTTCATTTTCAAAGCTAGCCTCCAAGAGCTTGAAAACCAATGTGTATCATCACCCAGTCTGATGTTCTTCCAGGATCCTTGTAAGCACATGTGCAGGCTGGAGCTCGTATGGAAATGAGGGCAGCGTGTATGTTTCTGTCGTCTGTATATGGCGTGTGGTTCAGCATTTCAGATCTTCCGTTTTTTTCAGAATCAAGGAAGCCAGGAGACAGGCCTGGTTTAGCAACAGACCACTACTGCGCGGTGGCAAGGCCCCTCCAGCAATGTGGTCGTTTTGATGGTACCAAAATAGGTAGGAAGTCTGAAGAGGGTAAACGTTCTGTCACATCTTGTGTTGCTGAAACAGGCAAATTTGGGCACCAAGTTTTCTTTCTTGGATGAGATGCATAAAGCATCTTCATTCTTACCACTGAGATTCTTGTTGAATTTCATCTTTAGCAGGGGATGAAGGTTTCACATCGCAGTAGCTAAAATCATGTCCGTACACGAGGTCTTTCTGAGAGATTTCATTTTCGTGTGGCTCATGAACTGTGACAGTACTCCACATGTTTTTCTTCCCCAGGGATTCATGTAAGAGTTCTCTCATTCTCCTGTTTTCTTTGGTTGTGGATTCCCATACGATTTCAAGTTCCCCTTCCACTTTACTAGAGGAAAAAAAAAAAAAAAATTTAAAACCACTTTTCAGCAGTATATAATTAGAGTAAGTGTATAAGCAAATTTTAAATTGCATTTATTTGGATGCCTGAAATTATGTGATCGCAATTCGTTCCTATTTTGTTTTTTTAAAAAGCTCACTAAGTACAATGCTAGAGCGAATGTGATCAGAAAAAAAGATCTGCACCCATGTAGTAAGTTGGATTAAGGCCACACTCAGGATAGGTGCATGTGAGATTCAAATGCCATCACTGAGCCAGGATCCGCGGTGGCCATGGTTCGGCTGCCTGTGACAGGTCCATCTGTCTGGCCTCCCTCCTGCCCCCTGCCACGAGTCCCGCGTCACCGCTCAGGGGCTGAAAGTGTCTGGTTGAAGGGAGCATCAGACCTTGTGCTTGGCTAATGCCTCGTTGTGGAGGTTAGACAGAACTGGTGTAAACTTTTATCCTTTTTTTTTTTTTTTTGGAGGGGGGAAAGCAGTGGTCAGGACGGCAAAGATGGTGAAGGACGGTCCTGAAGGTACCATATAACCTTATGGGCTGATTTCTCTGACTGTCCAAGCATAACTGAACTCATGACGTAATGTTTTCTTCTCAAGAAAAAGGTTGTTTTTCAAACATGGCGGCTAACATGATTTAATAATGTGGTGTATTCCAGTCACAGGGTTTTTAGTTTTCTCTGACTTCCTTCTGCTATATGCCAAAACACAAAATAATAATGAAATCAAGATAACTTGAAGTGAAAAGCAAAGCTGTTGCCTGGAAAATGAGCATGCAAATCTTGATGCTATAGACTTCTCTGTCACCGTCACTTCCAAGTCACCAGCTGAAGTACTCGCTAAAGCTAGGCTTTTATACAAATGCTCCCAAATACCTTGTGCTAAAAATGAGAAACAAATCAATGTGAAGCATAAATGCCCTGAGTTTGAATGCTGTTGGGCTACGTTTCTAGCAAAAGTGTATACTAGAAAATATATAATCAGTACCTCTTACAGAGCCTTTTGTGATCAGTAACACTGCAAATGAAGTGGTAACAAGTGGGCCAAACATTGTACTGGCTCGGCTTGCTTCACCTCACCCATTGGTTGACTCTGGCCCTTTGTATTGTGATCTTGGAATGTCTTCAGCATCGTGTTTTGTTTGTAAGTGAGCTTCATATCTTGACAGGGGCAAGCTCCCGTTCTCTGCTGCCACTTCTTTCCAACTGGAGTTTGCACACAGTGTGTGCAGCACTCCTATGCTCTGTTTTTAATACACAGGAGCTTAATCTACGCCCTTACTGTGGTGTAGAACATTGCCCAGGCTTTACTTCATCTGCTGTTCTCTAAAACCAAGACTCTGAGGCAGAGAAAAGTTGAAGTAGGAAGATGAAGCTAAAGATCGACAAGTTCCGAACTGCAGTTTAATTCTTCCAGCATGCCTGACAAATAGGATGCTCACTTTTAGTCCATACGTTCAGCTCAATGGCAACTGCATCAATTTACAAAAAAAATAGTTTAATGAAGTTAGTTTTAGAAGAACCCCCATGGTTAAAATTGCTTCAATAGCAAGGAAACAGATGCCTTTAGAGGTAGTGGTGTATCTGAGCTCTTCTGGGAGGATTAATTTTTAAACAGAGCTGGGAGATGTCAAATCTGGCACTGCTTGCTGACTTCGCTGTGGCAGGCACAGTCACAGGACACTGCTGCCAGGGCAGCACGCTGCAGGTGCCCCTGGGGGCTCTGGGCAGTCCGTGCTGTAGCCCTGGGTAAGTCTTTTCGGTGAGGCAGCAGGTCCTGCTCTTACAGTTTGGCTGTTTTTCGGGTGAGTATCCAGAAATGACCCAACTGTGGTTAGATAAGGGTTGTCTTTGAATTCTTTGTGTCTAAAAATTCTGACCTGATCAAAATCTAATCTATATTGAGAATGGGTTGGAGGGGAGGTGTTTATTCTTGCTAGGTGCAACCTCCCTGCTGCCCTAGGAACTTGGATGACACAGCAGCTTGGTTACTGTAGCTGCACATGGTGCGTACTTTTTTCTTTAAAAAACTAATTCTCAACAATTCTTTGCTCTTACTTCAGTGGGCAATGGCCCTCACTACACTGCTTCTACAGGCTTCTGTATCTCACCAGAAATTCCCTCAAGCTCTGCAAAGCGTTACTATCTGTGACTGTGGCATTACCCTGGTATTTTTGCTATTCTGTTGGGCCAACAGCGGCTGGTTCACCTCTTCAAACACGAGTCTTTGTCACTTGACAGTTACAACTAGATATGTACTCAGTAGGAAATGTGTCCTGTTTCCAGGTATCTTTAGGCAAAATGCTTGAAGTTTTTTTTCTCATAAACATTGTTACTTAAATGAGTAAAAATGAAAATTCCATTCAACCCCTAACCTAGCCAAAAATGTAAGGTTTTCTGTCTTTTTGAGAGTAAGCAAAATGCCAGTCCTGTACCGATGTTTGAGAATGAAAAAGTTAATAGAAGCAGATTCCAAAAGTAGATTCTTCTTTACAAAAGACAGAGCTTTCTGCCCTCGAACTAAATTCGTTCAGCCTTAGTCTCTACGATTTTCTTGTGGGCTGCTGGCTCAAGAATTAATTTTAATCTATCCTGTAACAGTTTATTTAAATAATCCTTATCACAAAGATGAACTTTTATCGTGGTTACAATGTTACACGTAACCTTACAGGTAAGACAGCTCTTCTCCCTTCCCTGTCTGTGGCTGTTAAGCTTTCCTATTGTTGACCTTCTTCTGAGGGCAGTTTAAGACAGTTTTATCGCTGAGGCTTTCGAACATGCATTTAACATCCAAAGTACAGCAGCTGTAACTACCTCGAAGTACTGTTCCTCTGCAGAAGACTTATGAAACACACTGTGACCTCGAAAACTCATAAAGCTAAGTGTCCTGTGATGTGAGGTATTTACAAACCTGGTGTTCTACCTTAGAACGAAATGCACAACTTTGTTTCTATCTGAAACATGCAATATATTTAAGGTATGTGAATGTGATGACTGATAAGATTACTCTGTAAACAATAAAAATGTCACTATGATTATCAGCTGCCCGAAGAGCAGAGCATGATCCTGTGTTCTTGTCAAGTTGCTTTAGGCAAAAGGTTGCTGTGAATTTCCAGTATTCTCTAGCAAAGGCTGTAATTACTGAGAAAGCTCTAAAGAGCCAGCTTCAAGGATGGTAAAATTTGCGTAACTTTAAAAGCTTTTATTTATCAAAAGAAAAATTACACCTATATGCATTTCTTTTTGAAAACCAAGTGGAAAAAAAACCTGTTCCCTTGGATGCAATGGGTAAGTAGTGCAACCTGTGATTTTTGTCATCAGGTGAAAGATGATGCAGGAGGGTAGAAAACATCAAAGAAAGTTACCTTTGTTACGTTTGATGAAGCCAGTGTTAGTTTGGATGTAGACTTGTTAACAACAGAATGATGAGAGAAGAAACAAGACGGGAAGCACAAGGATATTGCTGCTGTGTCTAAACAAGCATTACTCTGAATGTGCTGTGATCTACAGCTAGACAGTATCCTGGATTATAACTGTATTCCATACACACACACGTGTATATAAATCCATATGCAGAATGCTACATAAAAAAACCCAGAACTTTTTATTTAATGAGCTATTCTCTGCTATAAAAAATTCTAACATGAGCCCAGACGTATGAAAGACTCTTAATTAGTTAAAAATCCTAAATAACTATTTTAAGAGAAATGTGGAATAGTCAGAACACTTGTTTTCTCGTGCAAATTTTAGAGATCCGTGAGATGTTTGTTTTACTATTCCCAGCTACTTGCACCTGTTCAATAGCACTGTATAAAGTAATTGAGAGAAACTGCACTGATAAGGTAGATGATAACTCGTTTTTTACTGTGTCTAAATCTGTAATTTCACAATCACAGAGATGACTTGCAAAATGACTGCTTAGTTACTTGTCTTCAGTTGTAAGAAGTGTTTTCCGTATGCTGATAACATGAATGTGCAATGAAGCTTCCCACTACCAGAGGGGAAAACCATCTTTAAAGGACTCTAGATTAAAAGGGTATTTCAACACTGACAGTAATAACCTTGTATAAATCCGTTGTTACTGTTTTGCCTTTTTATTCTGCATGTAGCAAATCTATGTCATTTATTAACAGAACAGTAAGATTCAAAAGTAAACCCATCATATGCATAGTCATTAGATTCCTTTAATTTCCTACTAGTCTGAAAACTCTTGAGCACTGTGGAGGGGAATGTGTTCATCCTTCATTAGAAAATGCTTTTAGACAATCAACGTATATCTTGACGATTTATAGACACCCCCCAATCATGAAAGATGAAGCTCAAATTGTGACTCTTCTTAAGAAGTCTTAAGAGCAGTGGTAATCACCCAGAATAAATTCCCTCTGGGAATTAAGAGAAGCATTTCAGCATTCTCAGTACAGCTGAAACAGGAGTGAGAAAAGATACCTGCAATATCCCCTGAGGCTCTTATAAAAAGGAAGAGCTTGCAGCTGTGTGCAGGTGCCTCCCCACACTCCTTTTCCCCTTCAGACCTAACTGGATTCCTTCTGCCCGATGAGTGAGTTTACCTTTTCTGCTGCAGCACTTCATTGAGGGTTTCCTCTTTGTCTTGCAGCAGATGCTGGAGGTGTTTCACCTCTTGCTGGTACTGAGCAGTCTTCCCTGCAAATTCTTTCTCCTGCTCAGTCATTTTGAGACTCATATCTCCAAGCTTCCCAGCTGCTTTCTTTTTATATACCTGCAAGGTTTAAAGATAACAGGGAAAATGTGATTATAGGAGAAAAAAGGACAGCTCACAACCAACAAAAGAAATAGCTAAAGATGCTAATTTACAGTTCAGTCTTTACATCAGTGCGGCCTTGCTTAAATATGTCAGGTAAGTTGCATTATGTTGTTTTTCGTATTTGTTCATTTGAAGGTATTATACTTGCACTTTATTCTGCATATAAAACAAGTGTGTACAGTGAATACCATACTGTCACGTTTGTGAAGAGAATTAGCTGAAAAAAATGGTTTTTTATTCCAAAATGCAAAGCTACACTTTATAGCACATGTTGCTTATCACTAGACCGAGCTGTATTTATCAATGCATGCCATGAAAGCGTGTTTGTGTTCTGCTATTTTCAACTTCATACTAAGAGGAAGAAGAGCTGCTTCATATTTTAAAATACTTTGCTGCTTCACATAGTAGTGCTTCACATAGTAGTTCCTTCTGTTCACTGATGTGCAAGTGATTTTTTGCTTATTGGCAGTAACAAGCAAATGTGTTGGTCTAATCTCAAAAACAAGAAATCCCTTTTGTGTCAAGTGATTTTGCTCTCCAAAATAACTTCCCCATTAAATGACATAAGCACATGAGGAGCTGAAAAATAGCGCTTGTGCATTGTTACAAATTTCTACATGCTGCTGTTGCGCTCAACAAAACCAACAGGTATTATTCAAAATTAGCTTTTTTTTCCTGTCGTGATTACATACAGAATGCCTAGACTGTTATTGTATCTGAAGAATATGATGTTTGATAGAGGCTATAGGACAGAGTATTGGGACGGAAGCACCTCCTTTAATAAAACTGCAAACCATTTGTTGAATCTTTGAAATACTGCTATTTGGATCTTGCTAATACAAGCTTTTCTCTAAGGTGCTAACCATCAAGGTTTTATCTTCACCTAAATCAGAGCAGGAAAATTGAGTATGCCTTTTGGAAGAAGAAGAAAAAGAAAAAAAGCATGCATTTTTAGGTATGTGCTGCAAGCTATGTAATCGCTTCCTGAAACTGTTTCCTTTTTAGCTCTTGTAAAATGTGTCATGTTGGAGTTTTTTTTTCTGGAGGTTAATAGGATAGTAATAATAAGAGTGTTACTCACTCAACATTTAGGGCTGACTTAGTTTGTTGAGTTTTTTTCCCCCTAGTTTTTCCCTGTCAGTTCTAAAAAAATAATTTGAAGCCTGCAGTCACTAACCAGTCACACCACCACTGAACTTTTTAGATACCCAGAGAAGTCTTCAAAATGCTATGGGAGGGTAAAGGTATGATTTACCACGCAGAGGGTTGCTGAGAGCCAGCCTAGAGGGAGGGCAGAGCACAGGAAAGCAGCTGAACTTTCGCCTTTGTCAGTAAATGCCTCTCCCAGCTCTGAACCCGGAACCTCATATACTCTTTAGGGCAGGTCCCTATAATTATTTCAGAGAACAAGAGAGAACTTCCTCTCTTTCTGAACACATAAAAAGCTGGTAAAGACAGGCTAGCCCATGGTATTAGTGAAATGCATTTTTTAATCTAGTGGTTGTTGCTCAGCCAGTGAGAGGTCTGTGCTTTAAGACGTGCTCTGCCTGAGGTGGCTCAAGCCTGTGGCTCCCACCTGTCTCACAGCTGCCACTGGTGCGGTGGCACGTCTGCTCCTCCTTTGCCATCCAAAGCCACGTCACATGTGCAGAATCGTTGCAAAATCAATGGGTCACAAAGTGCAAAACTGCAACATTTTCTGACCTAATGAAATTAGGGTATGAAACTATGTCTGGGGATACATAGCTCTGTTCTTGCTCCAATGAGCAGTTATAACTATGTTGAATTAAAATGCAGAAGCTGTCTCAGCAGAACCTCAACAGGATGTGTGAAGAGTGTCTAGACCGCTCCATGCTGCCCTGCCCGTGCCTGGCCAGGCTGGGCTGAGCCTGGGCACAATGACCAGCACAGCTGCTGGCACTTACAGATCCTTCACTACCTTTGAACTGTTCAGCCCGTTACTAATTTTCTCTGAAATGAAGCCCGTAGCAATGAACAGACTGGTGGAGGTGAGAACTTTGAGGAAGAGGGTGATAACACGTAGCTGGAAGTGGTAACATTTTCCTCCAGAGCTGAAAAGTGCAGCCTGCCCAAGGTCACAGCTTCCCAGGTACACTGTAAGAGCCCAAGGTGCAGAATGACCACGGATGCAGCAGCTGATACTGAAACGATGTCGTTTACATTCTGCAGTAGTTTCAGGAAGGTATGTATACCCCTGGGCACCACAATTCTTTTACATGTCATGTATTGACTTACAAACTGTAGATCTGTATTCTAAATGCAAGATGTAGCAAGCTGGTAGGAAAAAAATTGAGGCCAGCATCTTCAGTAAAGTTGCATGAAAATGCAGGGAGTTAAACTGGGAGATGCTAGATAGCTTTGGTATAAGGATTGGTTGTACATATTTTTACCAAAACCTTATGACTGATGAAATTACTATTAAATATTCAGAATTCCTGAAACAACTTGTTATAATCTGACTTCTTTTTGACAGTGTGCCTGATTTAAATCACCCTTGCACTGAAGGAGAGGAAAATGTGCCCAGTGATGCAAAATCTGTTACCAGAGATTTACTGTTCACAGTCATAGGCCCAAAATCTTGGATTGTCTTCACAGAATTTGTGCTAGATGTTTGACTAAAATACTCCATACGGGAAATGGATCTCCCTGGGTTAGCTGTCCCTTTTGCTGCCATGAGACAGAGCTGCATGAAGGTGAATTTGAAGGACTCCCTGATGATACAAACGTTATGTCCAAGCTCAAGTTAAGAAACAAAACAGCATGGAATTCTGCCTGTAAAGAAGTGGTTTTAACACCAAAAAACTTGGCTTCCTCAAATTCTTTCCGTGGATCATCAAACTGCTTAGTAATCACAATTATGGAAGTACAAGGGGACTCCCCAAGGACTTCCAATCGGAGTATTGTCATGGATGATTATGGCGGCCACAGCACTGACTGGGTATCTCAGAGTCAGCTGGACCAAAATCTCACTTCAAAGCTGTGCAAGCACCTGCCCAGAGTCCTGGTATGGCTGCTTGGATTTCTTTACTTCAGTTCCCTCCCTCTTGGGATCTATTTTCTAGTGATTCAGAAAGTGGCCTTAGGTGTTGTGTGGCCTTCCTGCTCTCCTCCCCACAAATAACATGGGCAGCACTGGCGAAGAAGCCCCAGAGAACCTTTTGAGACACGTGATGTGACCTGGAACGATGTTTTGGATGAGCTTGCTGTGCCAGCTGAGATACAAGGCAAGGATTTCACCAAATGGTAACCATAAGCTACCTGGTTGTGTATACGAAGGAGAAAATACAGATTCATGTTATGGACACTTGTAATTAACTCAAACCTCACCTAAGTAGGAAGTACATGGTCGTCAAGTAAGCTGCTGTGAAGTTTCACGGTTGTTAGAATTGTGCATGAAGCATGGGGGCAAACTCTATGTAACTATTTTTACAGCTAGTCATAATTCTCCAGGTAATGATGTGAATGCGATGACCTGGCAGACATGCAGTGTACAAATACAATGGAAAAAGCCATCTGCGAAAATTGTAATGATCTATTTTTTTAAAAAAACTTGCTGACACAGATTAACTACTGACTTCAGTAAAAATACTGAACTTGTTACGTAATATTTAGCTTAGAAATACTACTCACCTTAACTTTTTCTTCCAATCTTCCTACGCGTAGGCTGCCTTCTACTATTTTTTTGAGAACACCCTGATTCTCATTTTCCAAACATTTGGCCTGTAAATATAGAGTGCACGTAACTGAATGTAAACATTACTTTAGACAAGGCAGACAAAATACACACTCTGAGGAAGACAAAGCTATTCTGTTTTGAGCTCCAACAGTCTGAAGAACCGAGATGGAGAAAGAACCATAAAAATGACCTTCAAAGGTTAACAACACAAAACATTTTTTGATTTTGTGAAATTATTAGAATAATGACCAATTAATTAGTTAACTGACTCCATATACCATCTCACTAACAAAATTGTACCTTGAAAGTGTTTTATTCTGCAAGGATCACAGCTATTGGTAGTGGAAACCCAACCAATTCTGCATATTCTCCTATTTATGTGTGTATGTAGGGATCCTGTCTGTATGCATAAGACTCATCCTTCTGGGTCAGATTTCAGAGTCTGCTCTCAGAGGAAGCCTTGAAATCGGCAGCATCACAATCTTCGGGGTCTGGCTGTGATGAATTTTCTTCTTGTTTTCTGGGCCTCCCCAGCCAGTCAAAATGACTGCTCACCAGAAAAGAGCAATAGCATGCCTGTGCAACCACGGCAGAAGATCCTTACAGATCACTTCAAGCATTAATTTACTTTTAGGTTCAGAAAGGCATATTAAAAGTTTTATCATCCTACTGCACGCTATTTGTCAATACGGAGAGGTTCAATGTTTAAGCCAATCTCTAAAATCAGGTTAAAGAATTCTTTTAAACTTGATATAAACCACTGCAGACCCTAATGCTGATGTGAGTTAAGACTTATGTTATCTTCAGAAATTAGGGTAGTTGCTTCTAACCACCGTTCTAGAAAGTTATTTTGCTGCTCCTATTTGCAAAAGTCTATTTAAATAGCTAAATCCTTAAACTGAAATTATAGCTTTCTTTTTTGATAAGTCAAATGAACAGTAGGTTGCCGTAGTAGGATGGTAATTGTGTGAAATATCAATTAAGTAATATGAATTATGTAAAGGTAATTACCAAAAACATAAGTTGATCACGTTCCTGAGCTATCTTCTCCGCCAAACCAATAATGTTTCTTAGATAGTGACAGGCTGCAACTTCTTTTTCCATTGCTTCCTCCAGCTGCATTTTCAAGATGCCTATTTTATTTTTTAATTGCCTGTAAAATTAAGAGCAGGAAAAATCTTCAGATTGGGAATTAATAATAGCATTTAAAAGAACTTGCATTGCATGTGCAAATCAACTTGTACAAGTCTGAAACTAACAAATACACTGTTAAAGACGCATTGGCTCAAAATACTTGCAATGCTGAAAAATTATCATTTCTCCCTTTTGGGGGCTGTTTTTCTTTACAAAATGTTTTGTGAATAACATCAGTAACAATGACTCAAAAGAACAATTTGTGCAATGACTGCAAGCTCATATTTCTTAAGAAATAAAACAAAATTATTGTCTTTACTTTTTAAAGTATCATGAGCTCAGCTCTGAACCACTGGAGTGCATGAGAAGGTCTGCAAACAGCGTAAGATCCCATTTGTCAGGTGAGTACACAACTATTAATTGCTACAGCTGCCCACTAGCATTAAAGATATATTCTTAATTTGCATGTAGAGATAGAAAAGCATGCATGAAAACAGAGAGCTTAGCAAAGTTACTTGACAACCAGACCTTCAGATGTGATAAAAATTATTTTAGGAAATGTATTCTTTCTGTAAAAGGTAGAAATTGCACACTGTGGGATGGCAGACATTATTTTTATATGTATTTTTGCTCTGATTTTAGAAGTACAACTATTTCTATAGAAGAAAATGAGAATGTGATATGACCTGTTTGTTTTTTGTGTCATTTCCATCTCGGTTTCTAGGATCTTCTTGTCAGCCATGAAGTTATTCTTTTCTAAAACCAGCTGCTTGTTCTGAGCTTGCAGTGATGCTATCTTTCCTGTTAAATCTTCCACCTCGCAGTGCTTTTTCTCCTGTTCCTGTTGTAAACGGCTGCAAAAGCCAAGAGCGTAGTACAGGTGTCATGTATAAAAAGCTAAGTTACAGTAAGATACCAATGCTGAAAGTATGAAAAAGAGACCTTGAGAATGCCTCAGTGGTGACAGCGAATGGAGGTATTGCAATCTCGATATATGAAATCATGAACCAAGTGCAATACAAACAAAATTACTTAATAATTCATCCTGACCACACTTGAAACAGAATTAAAATTATAAAAATAACCTCTATAGTGCAAATGTATCCCCTTCCTCATTTTTTTCAAAAAAATTATTAGCAATGCCAAAAAACAAGGTCTGAGAACTTTGCAGGAATG